GGAATTCCTATACTTGCGTGTCTCATGAACTGCTTTTAAGTTTATAATTTTTTCATGCATTCATAGTTATGCATGTTTGAAATGAATTGTGGTGCATGCATGCCTGTCATTTGCATGTGTATAAATGTAAAAAATTTTGAAAGCAGTTCTGGTGTAGGAATGACCGATACACATTTGGTAAAGCTTTTTGAATGTGTTTGATCCTTCTGGCTACGATTGAGCTGTAATAGTCTGGTATAATCCAACAACACTCTGAAAACTGCTCACTGTCTAAAGTAAATAATATGGCCATAAATTATATTCCCTTGTGATTTTGATAAATAGATTGTGTGGCGTCTTCTGCGTGGGTGATCAATAAAATTAATTACTGTAAATCCGATGAGTCAGCATGGCCATAGAAAGGTTATCTTCATCAATAAATAGTAACAATGCACATTAATAAATGAATGAAATTTGTGTAAATGTCTCTTACTCTACCTGCATTTCTCATTAATAGCTCTTAGAGTTAGCAACTGTGACAGAGCGCACTCTGCGTGATTGCTGGCGCCGCTGGTCGTGTTCAGTAAACGACGAAATACTTTTATGTTCGAATCGCACCATCAAAAATTGTGAATTCTGTTCAGATTGCCAGTGGGCAACCATTAGTCACTCCTTAGCTTCACATTTCTTACCAGCGTTGGATTATGTGAATAACTGCTATGGGTTTGCTGCCATTTTTTCCTCTATAATTCAAGTCTAATAGTGGGATTAAAAATTGCAAAGTTTTACTGGCTAATTGAATTACCACTTGATCTCAATTTTCAATAAATATCGTTTTATGCTATTTTGTCATGTCTTTGCTATGCCACGTCATGTATTTATTCTAACGACCAACACTCGCACAGGTGTTGGTCGGTGACATTCTTCTTCGATCATCAAGAAATCTTAAATTCAGCTTTCGATACACCATCTTTAATCTATCCTGTATAATTAATATTGAGAGGTTAAGTCGTTGTAACTTCTAAATCTAATCTCAAACCCCTTTACCAACCCTCTTCTTCAGTCTATAATACGGTTATAGGCCCATACAAAAGCAGCACCATGATGTTCTCCGGCGTCCGGCCTAAACCAAGAAATAGCGAACCTAAGACGCGCGTAGACATGCTATTGGCTCATCAATAATGACCTCGTCGCAATCAGAACCTGGCGTGATTTCGCTTATCGTCTGCTTTCTGGAGTATAATCGATTGGTTTAGGATTGCATCGTCTTTTATTACGCTAAATCCCTGATTCACTGACGACTGACGAGTCACCCAAGCCTAAGCGTTGTTGAACAATGACATTTAATTGCGTATGTTATTGATTTGCTAGATGGAATGTGCAGGCAGAAGTTACAGAATGAATGCTCATCACATATTATCTCACGTTATATTAAGTGAATTATCTAGGCTCAATTTCAATTTAGAATGCACAACCTCGTTTCCGAAAGAAGTAAGAAGATATATAAACTGAGTGTTAGAAAGTATACCATAAAATAGTTTTCTATGAAAAAGTAAAAAAAATATTCAATTTGAGCGTAAACTCACCTTGAGTTCTATCGTGAGTTCTATGGATCGCATCCATTTTAAATTATATTGGGCCCTGTTTTCCGCTTCATTTCTATAATTATTACTATTTCTTAACACGTACTTCGAACCTTCTAAATCTTATTCTCTGCCAACAGATGCAATTAGATGGCCAGTAGGCAGACTTTGGAGCTTTCCGATATTCTAATCAGCTGATATTTTTCTGCATGTTGATATATATCGTCATGCTTGTCTCTCAGCACCGTATCGAATCATCAATAATCAGGTTTTTTGAAAATTATGTTTTTTTTACTTGAGTTTCGTGACTGAGCAGGACAATGCAAACACGAAATCGAATGGTCTTGCAGTGACCTTGAGCAATTTTATGGTATTTATGTTATAATAAGATCCTTATCGAAGAATTATTTCAACGGCAAATACCAGCAATTTAAAGGTAAAAATGCTCAATCATCAACACTGATTGTCCTCCATACTTTCTTAGAACCTTCTCCACTCCATAGCATTCTCCTATGTCCTCCACCCCATGGCCCACGCATTGAAAATAGTCTGGAACATGATAGGAACTGGAGTTTTCCTACGGATGGAAACGGAAATATTAGATATACATAACCTATAAACAACGCAGACTTTGACAGATACACGAAACATGTGTAATATATTTATATGTATGACATTGACATGTATATATTCATGTATATATTCATGTATATATTCATGTATGACATGTATATATCCAATGTATGACAATGAATAAGAACATAATCTCACCTCAATGGGCCACGCCTCATGAAACAATGCCGGTTTATACTGAGGCTACTGTTAAATTTCGGCCGTGAATAGGTCTAAGCCTGAAGGTATTGTCGTGGCTACACATGAGACCGTTAACACACAACTAGCAAGTTTTGCTCGATGAAACCACTTAATTGTAGCGCGGCTAATCAATTCTTGTTTCCTAATAACTGCAAGTATTTTTGTTTCGATGGTAAATTTTTGGCAGCGATGTCACATACTGCATGTTTTCATACTATCTGTGAAGTATTGTGCCAATTTCGAAATAGATCTAATCAGGTTTACAAAAAATACTTTGAAACGGCACAAATATAAGCTATATATGGGGATAACTAATCTATGGCTTGTGTACCTACAAATACGTTGGTTATTTAGAAAGAAATTAAAATTTGGACGCTGTTTTTGTGACATTAACCAATTTCTTAACATTATTATCCCTCAAATAAATTGCGGTTTTAAATTTCCAAGATAGTCCAATTACGAAATTTGTAGGAAAATACTGCACATTTTAGTATCCGTAAACATCGGGCGCACATTTTGGGGAAAATGCGCATTTCAACCCTGCATGTTCTAAAAATGTGTAATAATAATCGTTATCGTAGAGCAGTGGCCTCGTAGGCATTGATTGTTTAATATTAGAGTAAATACATTTCCGCTTAATCAATAAGCGTCTGTGGCTAGAGATCACTGTAGATACCTTGAACAGCATATACGTACATTGCAGTTAATAAAGCTTGCGCTGGAGGCTGTTTTATTGCTGCCTAAATGAATAGGTATATTTCTGCTGGCCATTTTCATTTTCTTGTTCTAGGTGCGTTAGATTAATTTACTACTTTATGCCGTTAATAAAAAATAGTATTCCCTGTATCGCAATAATTAAATTTTCCCTTCACTGATCACCTTTTTCATTTGTACAATGCAATCCAGAAAAAAACTCGTAGGAAAAGTCACATTAAGCCAAATCTGCAGGGCGTGCCCGCCAAATGATCAATCGACATTCTTATTGTTACCCAATATCAACGTAGGCCTCGAACTCGAATTAGACATTCTTGGTCTAGACATTGAAGGTCTAATGCATCTATATATTCATACTTGTGAGTTAAAAACAGCCAACAAAGCATCGTTATCGAGGACATCGATATCTGTACCTCGGGGAAGTTTAAAAGAGACTTCAAATCTTAAAAGCTGAGATATTACTAAAACAAAAAAAAACAAATGTGAGCTAGACCCTGAATGTCTTTACATCTGTACTGTCTACTTCAAAAATTCTTGGGTGGCAGTGTTCAACTTTTTCGTTGAAATGAAAACCAATTTTAATAAAGTATTTTAATAATTTTACGTATATTATTTTTTCGTGACAATGTTTTGAGTGTGAAAATTTAGCGTGCCTCGATTATGTGATCTAATTCATAGTGAAAATATTTGCTCGTCTCTGGTAAACTTTTGCGTCACTTTTTCTCCCAGGATAATGAAGCAGGAAGTTCATAAAATTTAACTGTATATACACATTGAAATTCTTTATTAGAATCCTTTTACACGTACAGTAGGGTTGAGTGTAATTCAATTACAATTTAATTTTTATTTTAGTATAATTTATTTATAATAGATAACTGTATCATAATATAATATAATTATATAATATGTTTAATTGCATAAAATATATAGTTAAACTATAAAACCAGTAATGCCGGAGGAGTTTGTATATGCAAAACATTTATAAACACATGATGTTATTTGATATGTTTTAAACTGTTGCTTGTCACATGATGTTATTGATGTGTTCCCTACTGTTGCTTGTCACACGATGTTACTGATGTGTTCCCTGCTGTTGCTTGTCACATGATGTTACTGATGTGTTCCCTGCTGTTGCTTGTCACATGATGTTACTGATGTGTTCCCTGCTGTTGCTTGTCACACGATGTTACTGATGTGTTCCCTGCTGTTGCTTGTCACATGATGTTATTGATGTGTTCCCTGCTGTTGCTTGTCACACGATGTTATCGATGTGTTCCCTGCTGTTGCTTGTCACACGATGTTATTGATGTGTTCGTTGCCGTTGCTTGTCACATGATGTTATTGATGTGTTCCCTGCTGTTGCTGATGTTATTGATGTGTTCCCTGCTGTTGCTTGTCACACGATGTTATTGATGTGTTCCCTGCTGTTGCGTCACGATGTTCCGCCCGTTCGCGTGGGCGAGGAACGGCAGGTCGATAACGCAAGTCGTTGTCATGACAACCAACTGTGATCCCATTATGAGGCAGCTTTGTTCTTGCAACATTAAGATAAAATAAAAACAATACAAGTGATACTAATATTTCGATCACGGAATGATTTTTTTAACTCTTACTTGTTATATTTGCTAAACTTTTCCGTTTCTAATCAAACTTCTTGAATCTATTTGAACTATTTCGCAGATAAGATTGATAATTTGCTTTTGTTTTTTAAATCGATTTGCATCGTATTTCAATAATCTCTATTCGAATTTTAAGGCCAATTGATTCATTCCCTGCATGGTGTAAATATTTCCCATTGTTTGTTAAAATTATGTTAGATTATAATAGGAAACAGCTGTCGCGCAAGGCTCGTCATGCAATAGAAAGTGGGAAGACTCGAAGCGTCGTCTGCTACTGCTCTGAACTCCAGGCAGTCATTGCGCAGGCTGTACAAGCCTCTTGTGGTTCCAAGTCCGTACGATCACTCTTCTAAGCTCAGGTAGGTTTTTTTAGCCCTGAATATAGAAACTTGGAAGTTTTTTGTAGTGATGAAAACTTGTTGAAAGCAACGTATGAAATTCCGACATCATGGTGTTCTTTATCTGGAATAATTCGGGAAGGAGTTCTGGGTCTGTGAAGCCTCGACTGTAAAGACCAATTTTGACTTATAATAACAGAATAACTAAAACTAACTGCGACCTACGCGCATGGCCTTAAATATTCTAAGTAACAGTTAGAAAAAAAATTTTGATTCTTTACGCGGGGTCATTTGAATTCAGTTGTGAGAAAGCACAAGGAAGGTTTTCCGAAGCTCGCAAAACACCATCTGTTAGGATAGAATAGAAGTGTCGGCGCTGATGAAATAGACCCATAGCCTGTTGTCGATTATTGTACTTTTCGTGACTTGATTCACAGAAAACCTAAAAACCTGCCTTTTGACCACGATCTTTTCATTACTGACGTTAGTTTGAGGTAACTAATGGACTTATTACAAGTTCGTGAGGCGTTATGCATTTCAGGAGTGAACATATGCTCCTGCACAGCTGTGTCTAGTCTGTTCTTGAACGCGTCTAACTCGGAACGTTAACAATGTTATCAGAGAGGCTGTTCCACATGTCGGTGCCTCTATAAGCGAAAAGAACAGACAGATGCTTTTTGTCTTTCGCCTCTTCGTGATGAGAACTTCCTCTTTCTGCCTGTCTCTAACCGCAATATAATTCTAACTCAATTAGTTTCTTCATGCTTAGAAAATTAATTATTACGTCCTTTGTTTAAGACTTTCTCTGATAACAGATATGTAACGGGCATGTTATACTGGTGATTTGACTATACCCGCACCATTCCAATAAATAATAAGTCAAATAAATAATAAAAACAACGTTACGATAATATACTTCAAAACCCTGAAGTATACTTTTTGATCTATTCTCAAAGTTTCTATTCTTTGTTCTTGTTTCAAAAAAATGTATCTATTTTTTATGTGATGCATAAATAAAATATAATAAAATATATTTTGATTGGTTTTCTTCTTAAAGAAAAATATGCATTCTTTTATTTATTTCCTTAAGAAAAATAAACATAATTTAATTTATATAATTTATAAAAATATACATTGAATGTGTGTTAATGTTTGTGACAGCCATGCACGCGCAACGCAGGACGACGCTTGGAGCCTTCCTTCTGTTGCTGCTTGCCTGCGGTCACGTCACTGGTTACGTCACGGACAACGATGTGAGTGTGGCTTGTGTGTCTTGTGTGTGTCAAACATACAGCACAATGCTTGTATGTAATATCATTATCATGATGATGTGAGTGGGGCCTGTGTGCCTTGTGTGTGTCAAACATACAGCAACATGCTTGTATGTAATATCATTATCATGATGATGTGAGTGGGGCCTGTGTGCCTTGTGTGTGTCAAACATACAGCACAATGCTTGTATGTAATATCATTATCATGATGATGTGAGTGGGGCCTGTGTGCCTTGTGTGTGTCAAACATACAGCAACATGCTTGAGTGTGGCCTGTGTGACTTGTGTGTGTCAAACATACAGCAACATGCTTGTATGTAATATCATTATCATGACGATGTGAATGTGGCTTGTGTGTCTTGTGTGTGTCAAACATACAGCAACAGGCTTGTATGTTACATTATTATCACAACGATGTGAGCGCGACCTGAGTGGCTTGTATGTGTTATACATACCGCAATGTGCTCATAAATCACAGTAGTTTTGCAAATGGCTCATGATTGTCACTTTTGCCACTTGCTATTGCACGCAAAACGATTGCGAAGTAATGATGAAAGATTTAAAATGGGGAACAATTAGGGTCATTTGGATTATTTCAATGAGGTTTTTTAGTTACGACGAACTGCCTTGCGTTAATGGCGTTAATTTCTGTGTAACAATGACGCAAGACTAATGTTTGATGTCCTCGTGGTTCAAAACTTTACCAATGAGCTAATAATATCAGATTGAAGATTATAAAGCGCGCAAGCGATTAATCTGAAGGCGGTAATGAAGTAAAACAAATAATAAAAGAAAGTGAAGGTACGTTTGTTGGAGTTTAACGGTTTTGCGTGGAATTATATGAGAACATTAATGGGCTTAGTGATTCTGCTATACCGGTACCACGTAGTATGCTAGGTTGTAGTAAGTCCTCGACGATTCGTGAATATTCTCAAATATCATTGCATGGAATGAAATCTCCTTTAACTGTACTAATTCATACGTAAAGGATTTCTTTGTTTTGGTTACTGATTACTTCTCGGTAAAATATGTGGGTTCTCTGATCCGGCCAGGATGTCGGAGACGCTAGTATGCTGCGCGCGATGGTAGAGCGCATGGGCAGCGGACTGGCAGACTCAGCGGCCGCAGACTACCTACCGCTGCAGGCTGGGTTCGTAAAACTAGGTTCTGTTTTTCAGAAACGAACTAGGTTCTGTATTTCAGAAACGAACTAGGTTCTGTTTTTCATAAACGAACTAGGTTCTGTTTTTCAGAAACGAACTGGGTTCTGTTTTTTTCAGTTCGTGAAACTATGTTCTGTTTGACAGGGTTCTATTTTTCATTGTTGGAGGCTTCCCCTGTCGTGAGTGTAGTGGTAGGTTCAGTGTTCATTAAACGACAGTTACAGTAAAATACTTTATTGCACGAGACATCACATCACATGAAGAGTTTTAATCAAACATTAGAACTGTAGCACTTGTTCACGTTCATGGCTAGACAAATTGGCAGCGATTAGCTTTCAGTCTACAGGGACAAGCTTCACTAGACACAAGACGCTGCTTTCAAGACCACGTTCCTACTGCTAGAATAGAAGTGTCGGCACTGAAGATATAGGCCCATGCTACATTTTCCTATCCGCAATCTCTGATCACAGTTTCAATACTCTAAATCTAAAACATTCTTACAATTCCAACGCTGATAAATTCTAGAATGACAACACCTCTGATGAATAAAAGCTGATGTTATATACATTCAATTTCATTAACATCCTGGGAAAAATGTTTTCTGGTGAATATTTTTACAGGCACGTGCTTCAAATAAAACAATATTTAGAGATGTACTCTTTTTTGGACAAAATAAGGAACGGAGAACCCACATTCAAAACAACATTTATCAATAGGTATACCACCACGTGCGCCGTACCTAATCTTGCTCATGACTTAACTAAACTCAATTGGCGATTCTTGCTGTGTGATGTTGTTAGTGTATTGTTTGGACGTTATATATAGGTATTGTTGGGTATAACGGTATAGTGTGTGATGATGTTGGTGTATTGTTTGGACGTTAAATAGGTATTGTTTGGTATTACGGTACCATTATCAGAGTTACATCAAAAACGTGGTCTGAGCTACCCATAATAATGTGACTATAGCCTATACAGTTAGCCTTATATAATGGTTGACATCAACTGGGTGAATACGGCTGGTAAATACATTATTGCTGCAGTGGGACGAGAAACATAAACCAATTAAACCATACACATGTTCATTTTTAAATTTATTTATCTATATTTATTATTGTGAGTCAATTTTTCGGTTTTCCCAAGCGACATCAATATTTGACAGTTTAGCAGCTTGTCAAAATTTAGAAATTATGTTAAGTAGTAGTAAAAATTCAGAACTTCATCGATTTTCTGCATCATTTAATTAACTGCATCAATCAATCAATCAACAATAAAATAACGTTTAATCCAAGACCTCTACTGCCCAATTAAATAAAGATCCCAGCTTTTCTAACACTCAAAGCACATGATCGTCCGTCAAATTCCAAACTATCTCTACTGAACGATGGATTTTCAATAAAAAAAATATAAAATAAATCTATATTAGTAACAAGAAAAAATATACTCAGTACTCACTGCAGTGAGTGACAGAGAGCGCATTTTCTCGTCGACGAAAACTTGAGGTCACGGACAGACGGACAGACAGACAGACGGACATGGCGAGCACAATAGTGCATTTTTTCCATAAATGAGAAAATGCGCTAAAAATGATACAAATTCAGAAACTAAACACGCCTAATTAATAAATCTGAAAAATCTATAACCTCAACCGTGCGTTTCGATCTTTTATTTGCTCTCAATATTTCCTTTAGTTTAAGTTTAGTTGGCATTCGAGCGATTGAGGTAAGTTACATGTTCAGAATTCAGAAATTGAGGCCTTCCTGCAATAGAACCATACAACTTTTTTTAAAATACCTAATTTGAATAATGAATATGATGTAAATAATCAAAATTTATACACAACATTAATCAGTATAACACGGCACGATTCCCTACAAAAATTAAGCAATAACAAATAATTGCACTAAACTTTCTAGAAACACACCACAGCAAGATTAGCAGATGTAATGATCATTAAAGGTCACATGAAAGGTAATTGGAAATTACAATAACAAAAAAATTCTTAAAACCTAATACATGTTAACTTAGAAATTAAATATGCAGATATTAAGTTAACCTATTACTTCAAAATCATCTCATTGGCTTTGGTGCTATTTCATTTCATTTTGGGACAACGTTAAATTTTTATTTTCCAAGTCCTTTCTTCCGTTCAATCTTACTGTGCATGCAACGTACAGACGCATCTCTAGCTAATCAGGATTAAAGAAAAAGCTTTTTCGATTTTTTCGATACTAAAAAAAATAACTAAAGCTGTTTCTAAATTGTTTATAATTTAAATCTCCCTAAATTGAGCCATTGTCTTCCTCTACTTTTTCTTCAGTAGCCCAAAAATTCCTGACCGGTAAAGTCATCGTACATTCTATAATCACGGCGCTCACGGTTAATCGCCCTTCTAAATAGGAACTTGCATAAATAATTACATGAGCACAATTTCACATTTTCTGATGCTGCCGTACCCGTACATCAAGGCTCGACGTAGAAAAACAAGCGAACCTTGATGAAAACAATATAAGAAAAACAAATCAATTCACGTGCGCAGATACGATGCGCCGTCGGAGGCGATGAAGGCGTCGTTGTACGAGCGCGGCCTGCCGTCCGACGAGCTCAGCCTGCACGAGGCCTTCGACCTGGGCGGCGCCGATGACCTCGCCGAGGCTCTTGAACTCAGCGCTCGACGAGACCTGCGAGACCGCGACGACTTCAGCGCTACGCGTGACCTCCGAGACGGTTAGTTAGTGGCTTCTGTTTACGTGAATAACATCTTCTCGAGCTATTTTTATATGAACTTAATCAGGGTGAAATATTAATTAAGCGTCGGTGAAGACCAATTATCCAGCGGATGGCTCGATTATCAAGGGAATAGATCGGATATACGAATTACCTGCTTATTAATGCACCCTCCGGGATAAGCATTAAATTATTGAGCTTAATTTAGGCAGATTGTCTTTGAGTATAGATATGCAGGGGAATAACCTTTGTTTTGTGAATGTTTGCCAGAGTTGAGCGTTCCGCGCAACATCAGGGATAAGATAGACTTGAGTCTTGACCGATACGAAGATCAGCAAGCGCCGTACGGGGTGGAGCTGTCCGTGCATCCTTCCTTGCGTGACCAGGAATACCTGCACCACAGCCACCTCCTCGGCAACAGGATCACCAACTTCCAAAATGGCAAGTCGAAATTATACTCATTACGTCTCAATTAAGTACTTATATATATTAAGTCTGCATATATCGCAAGTTCACAAGGAATTTAAATCAAAGAAAACGCCAAGAAAATTCACGTTACGTTTTCAACATCGACATGGAGAATTTTCTTGGCGTTTTCTTTACTTTTAAATTCCTTGTCTCAATCAAAAATAGGACAGCAAAACAAAAATATTTCATATGCGTGAGATATCCCACAAACCTACGTCGGGATACATAACAAAGTTTAAAAGAATTTCAAGTTAATTCATTTATCATATTATTATATATTCTTAAGTCTTATTTTAACATTTTATACTGACGATGGTACGAGGACGAAGGATGCAGTGTTTGCTATCGATGGTTATTGAAATTGAAGAGAGAATTGACTCTGAGCTGGATAACTTTGCAGGAAACGTTATCAAGCACTAATCCTATTACCATTAAAAGCACTGTAGAATATGGAAAGTTAGATTTCAAATTCTTAAACTACTTTCGTTAAATATAATGCCCGCTTGTTGCGGATGTGTAATGCGCGATCGAACTAAAATCGATTTTAATCCATGATGTTAATTTAGTTTGATGCTGGCTCTCGACTAACCTGGTTGGAGGAAATACTTGGTACTTGGTTTAATTGTGATTCGTGTTCTGAACATTTACTCGCGAATTTAGGGGAAACTATGAGGCAATATTCGAAACAAAGCATTTTACATAGCTTGCTTACCACATGTAAAATATATACGCAATTATTTTTACCATTGTATCTCTTGGTTTCACATAAACTGGTTCTAACAAAAAAATAACCCAAAGTCATGAATTCAAAATGCTTCGAAATGAATACACAATGATTATTTATCCTAAATCTGAGAAATCGTTTGGAAAGAACAATGCTCGTCCATGAAAAGAATTTGGGAACTTCAAGTTTGATGCCAAGCTCATCTGTCGTAGTGGTGATACCAGCTCGTTCAGACCAATATAAGGCGTTCAAAAGTTGTCTGAAATATTTCGAAAGTGGCCTGTCAATTCAACGAAAGTTCAAAATGGATCCAAATTTTCAACGTCGTGAACGTCATAAGCAACGGAAAATAATGACTTCGATCCGAGAAAGCAGAAAATTGCAGAAGCAGGAGAAACTACTCAACGAGCGTAAAGCCGAGCTGAAGCGCCACCGACTCTCCCTCCAACTAAAGATACTGCAACTGCTAAGGCTGCTTTTGAGAGAAGTGGCAAACTTGATCCCGAGGCCGCAATAATGAATAAAATGAGGGCGACTTTTTGGAAGGAATTAGTGAATCACAGAGTACAATCCGTTAATAGGGAATAATTGCAGAAGAACTAAAGGAGCACGGATTTTTTTAAGTTTTCTTGAAAGTATCATGCAACCGCAAGGAAATTTTCTCCAAAACTAAGCGGAAAAATAATGTTGGTCGTCGATTCAGGAAAAATTTTGTTCGGCCTCACCTCAGCAGCAACTATCATCAAGACCAAAGGAAGTTCAGCTGGTTGAGTTTCATTGTTCTGGGAAAAGCTAAAGCCTCGTCGATGCTCTGCCGTCAGCGTCCGAAAAAATCATCGAAGTGATCTCAACGGCAACAACATAGGTACCTACGATGAAGCCAGTTAAAGTTGGGATATAGTTCATACACGAGAACAAAACTTAATTCGGATTCTTGGTTCAGTGCAACGAATGTCAGAAGTTTTTTTGTGTCGCTTGATTAAAGGAATGAACTCATCGACGAGAAGGAAGCGCCCATCAAGAGCATTGCTGTAGATGGCAAGAATTCGAGCGCCAATGAAAGAGCTATATTTGTGCGCGTCAAAACAGTTGAAGATAATGTGTCCAGGAAATAGCAGCGACACGCAGAGAATCAGCAGGAGGATCGAGTCATTCCTCCGGCAGAGAAGTGACCTCGATACCGTGGAACCATCGTGCCTGTGGTCTTCGAGACGATCTGCCTCTACCTCGTCATGCTCAATCCTGAAAATGCTGCCTCGACGTACCATGGAACCATCGTGCCTGTGGTCTTCGAGACGATCTGCCTCTACCTCGTCTTGCTCAATCCTGAGAATGTTGACTCGACCGCTAGCGAATCAGTGTGCAGCTCAATGCCCTGATGCAGTGATGGACTAGTTTGTAAAACGAGTTGCCTCTTTCATTTATAATGTCTTGGTGTTAAAATTAATGTTCTGTTCAATGCTGTAATTTTAAATTAATGGAAAGATCTTGTAAATACTTGCATAACTACTTTTACTGATTGTATAACGTTATTTAAGGCTAATAAAATGTGTAAAGGACATTCTTCTATGCATTTCTTTGGGAACGTTAGCTGAGCTATCCAAAGACGCGCCATCATGGCAGGATATAAAACGAGTATTCCATGACGTACGGTTTTAGAAAGAAATGACAAATATACATAAGAAAAACATACAAGAAAAAAAGTCCGCTATTTGCATGAAATGATAATAAATGACCTAAAATAAATCAACAATAATTAAACGGGATAATCAATAATTTACGAAATCTAACAATAAATCGAAAGAACTGAATATTGTAGCTTGGTTCCTCTGGTAGTAGAGGCATCCGTATTTAGGTCTAACAATGAATGCTGTGACGCTTGTGAAATTGACTGCGTCGAGTGGGCTTATTCTATTGCAACAAATTTCAGAAAAAATTGAAAATGGCGGCTACATATCTAGCCCCTATAAATTATTTAACATTTATACATCTCTAGCTTCACACAATAAGATAAGCTTATCAATAGGCCTCTTTATTTCTATAGTTTTGAAATTAGTGTTCTTCGCATCCTTATGTTTAGCAATCTTAACCTTAGCTGAACGAACATTGTAATCATTATCGGGATAGACTTCAGTCACTTCGAGGCAGTAACTGATCCACAACGAGAACCAAATCGTTAGGCTGAAGTGAACGACTGCTTCTCGTCCACTTCTGTCTCTCCTGCAGTAGTGGCAAATTCTGTCTGTGCCATCTAACCCAAAATAAGTTGGCTAGAAAATGAACTTGTTTCCATCTTCTCTTTGCGTAAAGATCACCTCGCGAAAACAATCCAGGAGGGAAAGTGACGCCTGAGTGCAGAAGAAGATGGTTGGGCGTGAGAGCTTCCAAGTCTGATGGGTCGTTCGTTAGTTAGGTTAACGGTCGAGAGTTGAGAATCGCCTCAACTTCACAGAATAGCGTATTCAATTCTTCGTCCATCAGTCGAATAGACTGCTCCTTCATCAAAGTGTTGAGGGTTTTTCGAATGGTTCTGATCTCGCGTTTCCAAACTACCCCGAAATGCGAGGCCGATAGAGGTTGAAATTTCCACTCAATTGTTCTTTGTTTCGTTCAATTCTTCTTTGTTTCGTCCAATTCTTGGAATTGGAATTGTTCTTTGTTTCGTCCAATTCCAAGAAACCGGAACGCTCTCATTCCGGTTTCTTATTTCTTCGGCCATCTCTTTATTTCCCGAGGTGAAATTTGTTCCGTTAATTGTCGGAGCGAATGACCTTCACGCACTACCCCGTTTTGACATGAATCTCCAGAAGGCATTTTTAAATGAATCTGTATCAAGAAAAAATAAGACTTCAATGTGAATTGAACGACTGCCTAAACAGGTGTATATTGAACCATACTTTTTTCCGTTCGACGACCATTCGTGACCATAAAGGGACCGAAATATTCTATTCCGACGTTGGTGAATGTCGGATGATCCCCCGTTACTCACTCGCTGGAAAGATCCGACATCATGCATCTGCTCACCTGGTTTTCCTTGCAGCCTTCGGCATATCATACATTCGCGCAGCAATCTTCTTACCAGCGTGTGAAGGTCCACAATCCAGAACTTACGGTGCATGGAGATGAGAGACGAGCATTTCTCGTCCCAAATGTCCCAGCCTTACGTGGAGAGAACGCACTAATGCTTTGACAACAGGATAGTCACTAAGCAAAATTATCGGGTGCTTCAAATTAGTGTCGTAACATGTTTCCCTAATGCGACCTCCGACTCTCACAAGGTTGTCCATCAAAATTGGTCCAAGCTTTGACAGATTGTGCGATTTAGGAACCTGACTTTTCTTCTTTAGGAGGTCAATAACGAACGTAGGGAATGTTGCTGCCTGAACTCTTTTCCAAATTTCAGCCTCAGCCGCTCCGGGTTCAGCCACCGTCAACCCTCCCGATTTTCGAGATCCGCACAAGTTCTTGAACCTCAAAAACCAAGTAACTTTGAATTTTAAGCGAAACGTCGATGCAAGTAATTTTTCTGTTGGATTGCATTCGTCAATTTCTGTGATGTTTTTACTGCGGTGCACTTCTTTACTTCTGGATCCCCAATCGTTGATCACACTATGTTGCGTCGATTGTATAGAANAGCGATTCTATGGGCCAAAATTCTTCTCGCTGTTGTAGGAACGATGGACCAGTCGAGTTCCAGTCGTGGAGTTCCTTCATCTTTTCCGGAGCAACTCCTCTGCTATAATATGGTAGGCCGGGTTGAAGTCGCTGGGTAGGTATCTCCATCTGGATCTGTAATACTCCTAATGAAAGCCACCCTATTGGAGACGAATCTCTGGAATCTCGCGGTGTCATTCCAAATATACTTCAGAACCGTCAAGCTGTCTGTCCAGAAATATGCTTTCGAAGGCATATTTCTTTCATTCTCTTTCGAGGATTTGGTGAAGGCATACTGCCAATTTTGCTGCATTCAACTCGATACGCGGGATTGTGCTCAATGTAGAGTTGTTTAATTAGCGGAGTGAGTCGGGCCTTGGCAATCAGAGGCGAACATGCAGCTGAACCGTCAGGCCTGATGTTCCTTGCGAAGGCGATTGCACCATACGCCGTTTCGCTTCTGTCTGCAAAGTAGTGAAGTTCGTAATGCTAAGTGTAGGCGTTAATTAAATTTCTTGATCAGCCCTAGAGTCTATTTACATAGAATTATTATATGAACTTGGTTGACATTTTACTACTACTGGGGACTGTAATTTTTCTCATGGCATCTTACTTAATCAAATTTCGTTACCAAAAATTCTTCTTGAATGGTTTTTTTATTGAATACAATTCTCTTTTTCATTTCTTACGCCTGCACTAGCGAATAAATGAGATAAAACTCTAACTACGTGAAAACTCATAGAAAATAATTAAGTGCATGTAACGTGAAATATAGCTAGCCATAGAAATATTATTGTGACCGGCGCTTTATATAGAAATGATACGCTGCTTCGTGGTAGAAAACGAGTATATACATAGTGAACCTAGCAAACCCCCTTTTAGCGATGTTGCGGATGCTCTCAAATTGCTGGCCAAAGTTTAAAATTAGAAAACATCTTGTTTTAGACGACAACCTTCCATCTAAGTGCCTCTACCAACAGAATCTAGTAACCCTGAGAATAGTAAATCCTGCAAAATTTTTAGCACCGTCGAGAGATAGTTTTTATAATTCAGAAAACCAGAAAGAGCATCTGAGTGAGAGCATCACTATATGAGAAAGAGCATCTGAGCGAGAGCATCACTGCATGAGAGAGCATGTGAGCGAGAGCATCACGACATGAAAGAGAGCATCTGAGCGAGAACATCACTGCATGAAAGAGAGCATCTAATGCTCTGCATGAATTATAACCGCTTCGGTATCTTCTTAGTGGATGAACCAAGATTCTTGTGGTCATTTCTTCAGGGCTGCTGGTGATGCAGCTCCCTTATAGCACTGGTCAGATGATATAGAGACTCGACTAAGTCATCAATTGAAAGGCTTTAACACTTTGAGTGCGACGTGCGCCATATATGGTACATGCATGCATGTCCCAAACTGCGATGTGCGCCATATATGGTGCACGCTTAAAAAATTTAATTTTTTAAAAAAAGCTCTTTAAAATATCAGCCAGATCATAAACTTGTGAAAAATATGATGGATAATTGACAATAATGTTTTCTAAAACCTATATGAACGTCGTACAATCGAATCTTAAGAATCTTAGTAGTTGGAATGTAGCGTGAAATAATGAGTGGGTACGAAAAAGAAAAAGTATTAAATTAAGGGGGTTATCCTGTTCCAATGTGTTGAAAATCATTTTTTCGGTAGTGGTATGGATTATAGCAGTAGAAAAATAAGTATTAGTCATTCGAAAGTTGCCTAAGCTCACACAGAAACAGAATGGCACTGTAAAAAGCAAGATAAACGGTGATACGGATTCCGAGTACTGGGCTAGCAATTGATAGTTACTTTTCTTGTTTTTTGTCCCACTTTAGCACCAACTAACTTCCTTTTTTTGCAATTATGTTAAAGCAAGACTCAGATCAGTAGCTCGTCATGGCATGAAGTTCAGGTCCTCAGCTTTAAATACTTTAGAGCTGGAACGACAACATTAAAAATTATTGTGATTTGGTTATAGAAATATTTCTTCACGTGTCTGACCTATTACTAGTGAAAATACACTAGTAATAGGTCAGACACGTGACACGGACAGACACGTAATCTTCAACAACTTCAGCAATTCACATCAATTTTTACTGACTATAGAACTGATCACCAAGCACCCAGGCATTTGCTACAGTTTTTGCCAACAACTTGAACAGTTGTTGGTACCACTTCATGCGTGCTTTGCTTAGAGCAGTATTGTAAGAAATCATCTAAATGAATTATAAACTTCACATTTAGCAGCATTTTACCCCAGAATGATTTGTAGCTTGATTATTGCAGTCACAATCCGATTTCATTTGCACAGAAAATGTTTTTTTCAAGCGTTAGTACCCGTGTGATGCAAATTTTTTATTGTAGTTGAATAAAAAATGCCGTGTACCTCATATGGCGCACGTTGCCTAGAAAGATGAAAGTTTCCATCCCAGGCGACATGCACCAATAGAGGCTCACAGTTTTTATGTCAGAAGCTTGTAGAACTTGCTCAGACAAGAGCAGCGCACTTGCCCTGATCTCGCTGCCTTGTCTGTAACTTGAGTTATTCAAGTTTGAATGAGTCGCACCACTGGAATACAGGCTATTTTGTGAGTCGCAGTCAAAGTGTTAAAGGAGAGCGGTGCTTTAAACTTTATGTGTTATTCATTCCTGTCACTAAAATGAGTGGCATTAAAGAAAATTTGACTAATGGCACGAAGTTTGAGACTTTAAACAAATAACGCAGACATTTCCCTTATAAAGTTCTTGTACTGTATATCCTAATGCCAAGATTACTTCATGATAGAGACGGCCGCATGAAGTCATTCATGGATTCAAAAGATATCTGTTCCGTGTTTCTGAACATTACGTGACGGCAGAAAACGGACGAAACTTGCTTGCAACATCAACTAGAAGAAAATTTTATGTTGGGTTTGACCTGACGGATTACATAACTTATGAAAGGAATTAAAAAGGTGGTGTCAAAAATGTTGTGCGCCATTACACCCTATATAATAACTATTGACAAAATTGTACCGCGTAAACCGTGTTTTGAACTGCTTTGCCCCTATATACCTATGCTCCTATATACATGCTCCTCTTATATAGAGGTATATACCTATATACCTATATATGTTACGTGAATTTTCAAAGCCGCGTGAGATACAAAATACATCATGTGACCACCAGGTCCTATACATATATAGTACAGTACATGTAGCAGTTTCATAGAAAAATTTATAATTTTCGTATAATGACGTAAACAAATCAGTTTCTATAGATTCTAATCACCAAAGGAATAAACAAAATTAGATTACCTTGGGAATTACTTGGTTTAATGTAGAAAAGAGAACTAAAAGATCAATAAAAATTGCTGCAATTATTTTCATAAGCAAATGAGTTCTTAATACTCGGAGAGCAGCGCCAGAAGCGCGGTCAAAAATACACGAGCATGCATTATTTGTATTCAACTGAAAATTTGTTTGATAATAAGTGATGTGTGAGAAACGTAAGCCAAATAATTAACATGGAAATACCGGAAATGAAATTGCTTAATGCTCTGAAATTCTGCTTGTGAATTAGTTAAACACCAAAGCATGAAATGCTCAAAGACTCGTTAGAATGTACCACTATAATGTTTGGTTATTTTTAATTTGCTTCAATTGAAATGTACTCAAATAGTTTCTAAGTCCATAAAAGTAATATCCTATATAAATATATGTTTATTTTCATAATACAGATTTATTTGCATGGAAGTAAGTTCAATATTTATGCTTCGGCACACGTTTTCATTTAAGCAGAGCTAAACATAACTTGCATTCGTTCACTTTCTTAATGCTCATTAGTTAACCACATTACAATCCAAGTCTTTTAAAATGCACGCATGGGTGAACTTCAATAAACATTTTCGCAAGTTAACTTGAAAAAACTCGTGCAATTCTTCATGGAGCATGAATTTGTACTCCCTGCTGTGCTGACAAGGAAGCTGAGATGCAAATTTATTTGCCTTCATTGCACTAATTGGCCAGAAGCCTGGGCGTACGGTGCTTCTGAGACTCACGTGTCAGTCAACTCGCGATGTGTCTTCTTGAATTCTATGCATGAGATTATTCATGGCATGTGACTCATGCATTTTAATATTGTCTGTGGCTCCGTGCTCCAGAAATACATGTCCGTGTTCTTCAGTTATACTTTCTTCGTTCATTCTATCATTGATGCAAGAGAAAGTAAATTCAATATGCAACAGAAAGTAAATTCAACGAGCGAGTTTATCATAAGATTCAATCAAAGTTCGATAAGATGAGAACTGGTGCACAGAAAATCATGATGATGAAAACTGATCTTCACAGAAGTGGAGTTCATAGGCCTCCAGAGCTTTGATGTTGCTGCGAAGCACACTTTGCTTCGATGTCTCCCGAGACAAGTGACACAAATTGACTCCAATGTGAACTTAACGAAGAGTCGTGACGTCGCCTCAGATGTCTCCTTCTTTGATGTCTCAAAATAAACACAATTTTCCTCACAAGCGCCTAAAAAACATGCGGAAGCCGAACCGGAATTCGTCAGCTAAAGTAATTTATGATTGCATGAGGAAGATGCCAGCTCGGAATTGAGAAGCGAATAACTCATCATGTTTGTTAATCTTTTTGTGTATATTTATTATATTCAACAAGCTAACTTGGTACTTAAGATATCTCATTTAATGTCCGGAGGAACAATTTTTTTCTGAATTTAGAACATTCCCGATAACATTGCACAAGTCCAGGCTCAAAAAGTGTTAAGCAAATGAACTGCATGACAGTGAGGACAGAATAAGCCAAATTTTCAGAGCATTTGCAGTATTTGGCCATGAAATAAATAATAGCAGATAATTCATTGAAATTTGTGTGATTTAGCACCCCGTAATGCAGCCATAATTTGCAATAGGGATGATGCGCATCAAGCCTTCAGGCGCAGGCGCTCCGTCTGCCACCTCAGAGCGCAAGACAGACGGCGTCCTGCCGGCCTACTGCAACCCGCCCAACCCCTGCCCCCTGGGCTACACAGGTCAGTGGTGACCTGCCGGCCTACTGCAACCCTCCCAACCCCTGCCCCCTGGGTTACACAGGTCAGTGGCGTCCTACCGGCCTACTGCAACCCTCCCAACCCCTGCCCTCTGGGCTACACAGGAGGCAGGGGTATTTATTAATTAGTATTTTTCCATACTGATTAGTTTATTCCTTTTGTATGAGGCTCATCAGTGTTATAGTTTATCATTTATGTGACTATATACATCATAAATGCGCAGAACTAATTTTCAAGAATCACCAGATGAACTTTCGAGTTGTATGAAATTGTGAATTTTAGCCTAATTTTTGCTTGGATCATAATTTATGCAAATTTCCTAATAATCTTACACCTTGAATTATAATCTTTTCAAAGTATTCATCGCGGAACTAAAGTTATTCATGATATCAATTGCAGTTGTTGCCTTCAATGTTTTTTTTAACAAATATGTAAATTTCAATCGTAATTCCACTTTGTGAACACGTGTATAATATTTTCTCTACAGTTGATCAATTGACTTTAAACATGTTCTCTCGAATACTGCATAACCTAATGCTATAAATGGAGCAATTTCTGCCACCACTCGAGCAGCCTCGGACGGCTGCCTGGAAGAGTTCCAGAACACGGCGGCGTTCTCACGAGTAGAATATTTCCATAGTTGTTTAAATGAACTTGAACATTTTCTCTCCAATACTGCATAACTTGAAGCTTTAAATTAATCAATTTCTGCCACCTCTCGAGCAGCCTCGGACGGCTGCCTGGAAGAGTTCCAGAACACAGCAGCGTTCTCACGCAACTACCAAGCGATGCAGGAGTGCATGTGTGATACCGAACACATGTTCGACTGCCCCGACACGACGCGTGACACAGAGATCGGGGCCCTGGCCCGGTCTATCCAGAACGAAGGCGTTCTTGATACCACCATCGATAAGATAGTCAATGAAATGGTGAGTTATTTGACGAAATAAGGCTTGACATTGTAATCAAAACGATTTGTTTTTAAATGGGTATTTCAGTTGAAGAAACCTTTGTTTCATGACAATCGATGCGATATTTGAAATGATTGTAAAAAAAGGTTTCATCACCACGATCGTCAGTGAAATAATTGACGAAACTGTGAATGTCAGCATTACAATTCTGAATAATATTTTTTTTACGTTAGATTCTCATTTTATCTTGCAGAGGCGCAACCCGTATATGAGCGGCGAGAAGCTCCCAGTGGCTGCCAAGAAGGGGTCCACGCTCCCTTAGACGCTGTACCTACTAAACGCACCCGATGGCTTAATTTAGTTGATGTTTAGGTCTGGAATTGCCATCAAGAATGAAGAATGTTCTATAATATTGCTGTAAAATTCTCGAGTGTTTTTAATACTTCGAAGACAGGCTTTCTTAAGTATTTTGCAGTCTCGTGGGGTTATCGCTTGGAGCCGATCTACTTGGTGCACATAATTTTAAGGAAGTGTTTTTGAAAATTCACATCTCTCATATCATGGAAAAGAAACCAATATATAAATATCAGGGAATTTCAAGTTCAATAATACTAGTGGTATTCATCACAGTTTTGCCCAGTAATTAAGAAAGAATATACATAAATTGATGGAAGATACTAATTTATAATCTAGTGCATCAAACTTTGATGTTCGAGATGCACAAAGCACGCTTTTCATCGTAATGAAAACCAAAAAACTTACTGTCTCGTATTACCCGATGATATTCAGTCGAATTAATTAATGACTCTATACTTGATCTACTGGTTGGATTGATGTGCTGGTGAATTGATGCGTTCAGTGATGTGCTAGTGAATTGATGCCTTCAGTGATGTGCTGGTGAATTGATGCGTTCAGTGATGTGCTGGTGATGTGAGGCGTTTCAAATGAGGCCAAGATGCTGCTTTACTACGCACTTATCGCTTATATGCGCTCGTATGGCTGTTTGTATGAGATACGTCCTCGTACGATAGCACTATTTTCTCACCATCGAACGATACCGCGTCAATCTAGCAATCTCAGACGATTGTTTCAATTGTCTTAGTCCATGTTGGTGGCTTATCGCACCATTCTCAAGGACTGTCAGTGGTGCTGTTAGAAACGAAAAATCAGATTTGATATCTTGCATTAGTATCTACTTTAATTGCCAAGTTTACCGTAAATATCACTCGTGATCATTGGAAAAATTTGTACCCTCAATCTTAACCATCTTATTCAATATCTGAGGGTACAGCGGGGGAGTACATGCAGCCACCGCCCCTTGTATCTCTGGGGAGGTTTCTCCCCCTAAGCCCAGAATTCCCCTTGTGCTACCCGCTTCTCCCAGCGTCGGCTCTGCAGGTCTCGTGTCTCTTTGACATTTGCGCCTCCGACGCTCCCCTTGAAAACGGGCGCGTCAGGAGCGTGCGAAACCCATATCCAGTGCCGCTATTACTACACATGCTCTGGGTACGTGGCAATGGATGAATTATTATACGTTGAAACCCATATCCAGTGCCGCCATTACTACACATGCTCTGGGTACGTGGCAATGGACAAATTCTTATACGTTGGTTCAAGTGACTCGGTCTTCTACTCGGCATATTTCCAAAGTCGGGATCTCTGTGCAGTCGAACTTCTGATAATTTGGTGAGGTATTTGTTCGCTTCTTGCACAGGCCGGTTATCAACGTGCCAAAGCATAATAATAAATAAGAAAAATAGCAAAATTAAGAGAAATGTCAGCAAATGAACGCGCATTCGTAAACCAGTTGATATTTACCTACACGATTATCCACAACCAGCAACACTACCAACTTTCCAACGTTGATGTCATTGTTTTAGTGGGTCCTGATTCCTATGCCTTACAGACAAGATATTCCAAGACCTTTACACATATATTTTCAATGCGTTTCACTAAATACATCATTGGATTTAATGGGCTTTCCATTGATCGGAAACTCTCATTACACTACTACGTTTTCCGGCGTTTTCGTTATTTGCGCGCTCATATTTGAATCAATACCTACTCAGTAAATTGTTTATTAAATTTTTCTACTGCAATCAGAAACTTGAATACAGTTGAATAATTTTGAATATTATTTTTGCAGTGGACATTGCTTGCCAGCATTTGATAATGTATGTATCAAAGAAATCTGTTCACCAATGTATTGCATCAACAGCTCTATTTCACGTAGCTGGGACACTAGTCTGCATCACAGCTTTACATCACGTAGCTGGGACACTAGTCTGCATCACAGCTCTACTTCACGTAGCTGGGGCACGAGTCTGCATCACAGCTCTACTTCACGTAGCTGGGGCACGAGTCTGCATCACAGCTCTACTTCACGTAGCTGGGGCACGAGTCTGCATCACAGCTCTACTTCACGTAGCTGGGGCACTAATCGTGTATGCATATTTTAATTGCGGTGGTAGCATGTAATTCTCGCGTAGCTTGCACTCCTGAGCAGCAGATGTGACCTCGCTGCCTCGCATTGACCTCGCGAATGCAGGAATGACGTCATAAGGTTGCAAGCATTCATTCGAGGACAACTGAACTCTCAATGTTCGACCTTATCTATTGTCTGAATTTGATGCTCAGTACATAACTTTTTCCTTCCAATATCTGAATAGATGATCTTTTGGAAATTCCAAAGTCCCTACAACTCTTAAATTTTGTTCTCCTAAGCCTTTTATTAAACGTTACATGAAATTTAGCACATGAACAAAACATTCCAAGGTTGCTCATTTCAATTATATTGGGATTTGTATCTGAAAAGAGTCAAACGTCTTTTGCTGTATGATCTTGGTAACAATTTTACCTGAATTTATCGGTACAATATTCTATCAACCCAAAAAAATCACGTATGCATGCGCCATGCTTCGATATAATATTTGGGCAGTATTCCGTGTTGTTTAATAAATCGCCATACATGTTCCATATTTCAACATTATCTGTACGTTATTTAATCTTGTCTGAATAATAGACTCACTTGCTTCATGCCTCACAATTGGCATCTCCTAGAGCAGCTACGTGTGAACGAACATAATCTATATACGTTGTTCCTATTGATATAAACAATGTGTCGTTGTACTGACCAGAACTTATACGTATATTATCTGAAAAATTATATTATATATTCACAAATGATATATTAGAATCCAAATATACCAGCCTAAAACAGTGTTGAAATTGCTCTTCATTTTCCTCTAAATTAATCGGTGTTTTAAAAAGCTCCCGAAACTAAGTAAAAACGCTATTTGCCCTTTGCATATGAATTATTTTCAAAAGCCAATGTTGCAGCGAACTCAATCCTCTAAATACATGAATTTTTCAACTGCCGATCTGAATTATTATAATTTTTGGTAAGATTTTTATTCGGCCCTGCGATAGATATTTGTGCACTCCACACCGAACCAACGAGACTTTGAATAGGCAACATATGAATGGAAAGAAGATGCATGCAATTGCAAATAGGTTGCATAAGAATGCAAATAAGTTGCATAGTATGGGAAAAATTTTGCATAAGAATTCAAAAAGGTTGCATAAGAATGCAAATATATTGCATATTGCATAAGAATTCAAATAGGTTGCATAAGAATGCAAATATATTGCATATGAATGCAAATAAGTTGCATAAGGATGCGCTATATGTTGCATAAGAATTACTAGCATCAGAGTAGAGAATGAATATTATGTATAAAGGATGCAAATAAGATACACTCTCCTCACAAGGTTTAGGCATTTTTCGATTGACGCTAATTAAGTTCACTGTTACGAGATCTTCACTCCATACAGCTTTTTGAAGCCCCGCGACAGGTGTTGATGCCTGAGTCACCATTTAGAAAACCCTGACATTTGATAATGCTTGTAAAACAACCTCGATCAAACCATCTCACCCCCACACATCTCACCCCCACACGACTCACCCCCACACATCTCACCCCCACTCCACATCTCACCCCGCAGCCCAATATAGCTCCACGACGCCCACACCCTCTCGTTGCCCTAGCAACAGACCAGCCTCTTCTTCCTCTCTCGCTCTCTCTTCTCCCTCTCTCTGGAAGCGACACTCTCTTCCATCAACTCTCACTCTCTTGTTTTCGTTCACTTATTTATCTCTTTTTCTCTTTCTCTCTCTCTCCCTCGAGCTGTTGCTGATTCTTTTTTATTTCTACGTCTTCAATTTCCGTTCCTTCTGGTCATGTAATTCAAATCTCTCTTCTCCATTTATTGCTCTCGCAACGGAACGGTTTCATCATCTGTCTTCGTTCACCTGCAGCGACTCGTCTTTATCTGAAGGAATTACAGCTTGCTAATATTTTATCTTTATTTTTTTTTATCATAAACGAGATGCCAAGCAAGATCCATTTGCTATACCTTGAATTTTTCAGCCATATGTTTCAGCCGTCTGCTCACGAAATGACCTCGCCTAAAAGTCTAACCTGATCTTATAGCATGCAACTAAGATGTCTTGATTTCTTATGAGGTTCATCTAAAAGCCGGACCAATCGACTGAATTATCAGAATTTCTGTAATTGCGTTATGATTGTGCAACAAGCGGTAATTTTTTCTCTAAAAACAATTTTATTATGTTTTTTTTACTATTACTGGCAGAGAGTGCTGGCTACCATTTGACTCCGAGGTATCGATTTCTCTGCCGATGTGACAACTTCTAAGTTTTCCCATCGAACTCAAGCGCTTCATAGCCAGGGATTTAATCTATAGCCCATTTCCTGAAATTTCTCATGAGAAGTTAGATTTTCGTACCACTGTGCCACTAAGAGCATGCAGATAAATCACATATATCTTTCGATTCTCTACTTCAAATGATCGAAGCAAACTTCGAAAATATAACTCAGTATTCACTGCAGTGAGTGACATAGAGCGCATTTTTCGTCGACGAAAACGTGAAGTCACGGACAGACAGACGGACAGACAGAAGACGGACATGGCGAGCACACTAGTACATTTTTTTTCCATAAATGAGAAATGCGCTAAAAATTGGTCATGCCCAACTGTAGCGGTTGGTTCTCACAAAACCTTACTATTTCAATGCTCTTAAATTGCCGCTAATTGTTTAAAGTTTCGTTTTTGTGGTTTATCGTTTAAAATTTTCCCAGTTGTTATGATGTTGGCACCGATTTCATGAACGCAAAGTAAAAACTAACGAGTGATTTCAAATTCTGAAAGAAATTTATGGAAAGCGATTCAATGCGGGCACAGCAATCAGATTTTACTTTACTTGTGCAAGAATTCATCTGAACTCAACATGATCGCACTGAGCGAAGACATGAGCGCTCTGCCTTTTGTTTTCATTTTTCTTTTCAAAGGACTCGCATTCAATATTTGGAAAAAAATTGAAGCATTAGAATGGTTCGTGTCACTAATCAAACTGAAAATAGCAAGAATCTAGTCATAACTGGAATTGCTGGACGCCGCCTGATATTTTAAAGTTTCTTCTACAACTTTACATAAAAGAAAGCAAGTTTCTTAAGAAGAATGAATAGTGCTCCTTCAGAACCAAAGGATCAGTCTTTGTGTAAAATATTTCAGAAATACATCAATGGGTTGAATAATTGATTTATTTATCGATGAATAATTAAATTGATTCCAATTCTTGTCACTCAGGTGAAACGAAATCCGATTGGTAAGCTCGTCTGAGTCGGGCTGTCGTGGATCAGCGGTGCGTTCGTCTCGATTTTCGACGTCACGCTCCCACCCTCGCTACAAGCTTAAAAACCCGTTGCAAGTTTGATCTAAAAATACACATTGAAAAGCATAGGAACGAGCGGGAATCTTCGACTGTGAGACCGAGTCTCTCATTGGTCAGTAAGCTCCAATGAACTGGCTCCTCGCATCAGCTTTAGGCGGCTTTGCGGCTGAAAATAGATCATATCCTTTCCATATGCTGCTATGAAGCATTCAATTGCATTCATTCACTGGATGAGACAGATTGATTCAATGTCTTTCCTAATCAGTCAAATGGCATACGTCAGTTAGAATACCTGTTTTTTTATCGCATTATGAACTGCTTCGTATTGATTCATTTTTAAATCAACGACGCCGTACATTAGAACTACAGAATGGTTACGGAATGGATTAACAATATGTGAGGATACTATAGCTAACTGTTCACTACTTAGCAGTTCTATTCTTTCGTTATACATACGTGTATTTTTGTCTGCTGAAGGTATTCGACTGAGAAGAAATAAGAGGATTTACAAATAAAATGCGTCTATGAAGATTAATAATGCTCCCATGACATTTTGTGAATTTTTCTAAAAGAATTCGTTATCTTTCGACGCGACCCGAGCAAGTACCGATCATGTCGGAAGAGTCCCATTGCTGGCAATTGTAAACAAGTGAATCTCACTTCAGGTCTTGTCACGAGAAGCAAACAATATTGAACTCTAGCTGAGGACGACCAAGTGGAAATTATCTAAATCGACTCACATGCACTGTTTGAATAATTTTACGATATGTGCAAGTGTTGCAAATAATTATTACAATGAATTTAAACTAACGATAGTCAGCTTAATTGCATACAGAAACTTCCACCACATTCAAGTGTGTCGTAAAGAAAGTTAAGGCAGTCGAAAGACAATGCGTAGAACTCTTCATTCACATTTACGTGATTCGTACAACAATTGCAATAAGACTCGTACATATTCAACGCTTTGCTCAATCAAACTGGTATTGTACAGCCGCAAACTTTTGTGCATTCAACACTTCACTCAATTCAACTTGCTTTGAGCAACATCTGCGAGCACACATTTGTGTACATAACATTTCACTCCATTCAACATGATTTGATGAACAAATACAAACACACTTTTAAGAATTCAACACTTATATCAATTCAACTTATTTGTGTGAAACAAATGCAAGCCATTTTAGAGAATACCCGACCGTTGTGCTGGTCAACCTCCAGGGCTTGGAATTCCAGAATGAAGCTGTCCGCATCGATCCCTCGGGATCGCTGGACCGCGGAACGAAATTTGGACCGGAGCCAAGAACTGGAGCTCCGTCCGAAGCCGTGCAAGGCGAGCTTATATTCACAGATCTTACTTAATTGGTCTGCAATCGAATGTTATTTAACTTCTTTGCCTCCAATTAGTGTAATAATCAATGAATTATATAATTATTTGATATTTTTTGTTGCCGTTTTAACAATAGCTAAGCATCAAATTTAAAAAGTTATAGAAATAAGCAGAAAGATTGTTCAATATTGTCATTACGAACGTATTTATAAGTGAATTTACGATAGCTTCAGCTGAAACGCGATAAAATTGAGATATCACAAAGAACTACAAAAACACGTATATACCGTATATATTAACTTCAGAATATCTTGCTTTGCAGCACTGTGATAAATTCCACGATTCGAAGAAAATGTATGCTCTTCAAATTTCTGAGCCTTAATCCAGTGATTCCAGGATTTTCTGGAATGAAAATTGATCTTTTTACAAACTGAGATTGAATTATCCGTAACGAGGTTAAATTTTTGTCTCGCTTATCACGCCCCGCGTGCAGAGAATGGCTAAAAGTTCATTTTACCCCAGACAGTTCATTTTACCCCAGACAGTTCATTTTACCCCAGACAGTTCATTTTACCCCTAGTCTCCTCTTGACTCCTAATTACCTTCTATGCACCACTGAATTTATATCAATCCGGATAGAAACCTGATTGATTACAACCTACTGAAATTACGCTATTCTGAGACTATTTACTACTGAAATTACACCTCAATGAAATTTTATCCGACTAGAATTACCCCCTACTGAGTTGCCCTACTAAACTATACTATACTGTATTTACAAAAGTATTTCTGATGCCAGTCCGGAGCCAATGGCTATTTTTTAGTGCACCCAAATGTATGCTACTAAAAATTTATAAATTAATATTACCGATTAAGCAATGATTGAACTTTCTTGCTTAAAGTTAATTAATATATTTTTCAAGCTATAATTAATTTCATAAAGCACAGCTCTACTTTTCTGCAATTACTATGGTTAATGATTTTAACTGAAATGTAAAATTATAATATGACATAATTAATTTTCTCAAAGTTTGAAACTCGACACTTGGACTACGCATAAAGTTGTCACCCGTGGTCGAGAAATTGTTTGCAATCCTGACATTCTAGGCCAAAAACCGCCGTGTCCCATTGTTCTGGTTCC